TTTAAAAATATTGTTAACTAATTTAGCAATCGATTAATCATTAACTGGAGCATAGGGACTCCAAAACATGCCTTTAGCTGACAGAGCGACCTACTTAGAACACTAATTATATGAAGATTGTAAAAAAATATATAAATATTTTGCATTTAAGATTAAAAAACCTTTTTCGTCTATCAATATGCTCTATCCAGAACTCCTCAAGTAGAAACATTTTAGTTTCACCTGGTTTTAAATCTGTAAAAAAAAAACTTCTTTAAGGAACCTTTGGCTCTCTGATTATTAATTGAAAAAATTATTTACATATTAAGCGAAAAGCAAAATAATCATTAGTTGCAGGCCCAGTGGAGACGCATTTGTACCCCTTGTTAAATAATAGATTCCCTATATTTATGATTACTGCTTGACCTGCAGATTTAAGGAAGTGCTTGTATTGAACCTCTATAGCAACATTATGGAGATACGTCAGCCTGAGAAGTGAATAAAGCCATTTTCAAGACATTTGGAGTTAGTGACCCACGATGAAGACCACTGAGAGAGAAATTTAACTTTGGTGAACCTTCCATGAGGGTTATCCGGCTACCAAATTTACTCCAATTTACCTATTAACAATCATTTTGATGATTTTGACAGACAGAAAACGGAGAAAGTGAAAAGTTTTATAATGTGAGCGTGCTGTTACATTTAGTGTGAAATCAACACAGCATTTCAGAATAAAGTATGATTATGGTCACACGTGGTTGTGGAATTGTCTGGGTCTGCTTTGTTTTTTTTGGGCAAAGGAAGATGGGTGTAACCACATTCTTTAGAAAAATGTCCAGCCATAAGATTTGGATCTTATTACAATGTTACTTTGCTTATGCAGCAGGACAATGTTCCATAACAGACCAGCAAGTCCTTCTCTATTAGATTCTCTATTGTGGATCTCTAAAAAACTATGAAATAGCCTAAAACCAAGTCTGAACATAAAAACTATTAAGATGCCGTCACATTCATGCCGAGAAAACCTCCAGCTGAGCGGAATTAAAGCAATTACAAAAACAATAGTAATCATCAATTCATCTACATTAAAGCAATAGACTTTTTTTTATCATTATTCTGAACACTTGGGAGTTAGTGTCAGGGCGCAACTACTTTCTCAGTAATATCAAGACAGATTACAGGCTTTCCATCCCCTGAAAGATTTTTCTTTCTTTTTTTTTCTTTCTTTTTTTTTTTTTTTTTTTTTTTTAGGTCTACATCTATAAATGTTTGTATTTGATATAACAAAATGAACTGATAAAATGCTTTTATTACCATCTTTCTGTAAACACACTCTGTCCCATATTTTCCTTTCTGGCGATCGGTGTGCCATGTCTGCCTTAAGGAATTATCCCTAATAGTCACAGTAAGTGGAAGATCAGCAGAAATTCAAACCATTCTAGTTATCTAGGCTTATTGTACCTCATTAGTTTGGTTATTACTACCTAAACCATATTCAACAGGAATTCCTTTTGCACAATTTATCTTTAAAAAAATGTGCATTGACAAGCATCATGGAAAACCACAACTGTGGAAAATGCTGCTAAATTATACATAGCTATAAAACTGTCATTAACACCTCGTTATCTGTTTAGGCCTATATGACAAAAAATGCATGCATTTATCTATAAAATTACATTTTGACCTTTTTCTTTTTAAGAAAAAGGTCTATAGTTTGACTGTTGATTGTTTCATACCAAGCACATAAACACACATCTGTAAAAAAAAAAAAAAAATGGTATAGACACAGACACATGCACAGACACCCCAACCTGTTCCTGCTCTAATCTGTATTAACTGAATAAAAATAAAAAAAACTAATAAACAAATATAAAAAATATACAGTTATTTGGTTGGTTTTATATTAATGACAGAGGTAGCAGCTGTTTCTGCTGTCCCCCTTCCTGTCAGCCATGACAAAACCTAATGTGCTAGGTAAACTAGGTGACCTTAATACATGCTAACCATATTTGCTACCCCAATTTTTTTTTCAATAAATCTTGGAGCCGCTGTAGAATTGGTTTGCTTTTGCTATAGAAAGATGGGTCCCAGTCACAGTAGAAAAAAAACACAGTAACGTGTAATATCACATTAGTGGCTGTGGCTAATCTTCATGATGACCTAATCCTGCCTGCATTCCCAAACAAACAAGAATTCAACTCGTCTTTATGTTAGAGTAAAGTTAATTTTAAAGACTAGTTATGAGGGTGTGCAGGTGGCGCAGTGGTTGGTGCGCACCACCCATATACGTTGGCCTTAGTACTCGACACAGCCGACCTGGGTTCAAATCTGGCCTGTGGTCCTTTGCTGCATGTCTCTCCCCCTCTCTTACCCCCTTTCATGACAGCCTACTGTCAGAAAAAAACGAGCCACTAGCGCCGTAAAAACTCAAAAAAGAAAAAACAAAAGACTAGCTATGAAAACATAGTAGATGTTGCCATCTATTTTGTATTTATTTACTAGTATTTGTGGTAAATGGAACAAAATTGGAAATCCCCACCATTCGTCATCATCTCCTCAAGAGCATCGCCTGCTGTGTTAGAAAAATTTGTACCTTCTGTGTACCTTCTGTCCAGATGCCTCATCTCTTTCTACCGCGTCCAGGTCCTTTACATTTATCTAAATTATATTTAGTTAAATTGCAGCATTAATGCTTGGGAAGATAATTCCTCATCTGTATTTAGATTACTTCTAAGGATAGGAATATTTTTCCATGATTTAAAGCTGTTCCAGGAATCAACTATTTCTGGCTCGCCATCTGTAGAACGTTGCTCTGATCTCTTTAAACACAAACTCTGGAGCCCTGGAATGAAGGTCGGCACTTCCTACTGATGCTCCAGTCTTAGGAAGAAGTATGCCTGCTCTCATTATGAGCTTTCTTTCATTTCTTCTTTTAGTTTTGTTTTGTGGGGTCATTTGTATATTGCAAAATAATACACAAATCTTATGTTTTTTATTTTGTCAGATCAGTTTTTTGAGGTTTTGCTTAACAGGAAATAATAAAACTAATTTGGTTTTTACTAGAATTTTTTTTTTCGTTTGACCTCAAGTGCACAAACCTGCACTGAAGATTCTAGACTTTGATTGTTTGCTAAAAAAAAAAAAAAGGAAACTTGTGAAAAGCTACGGCCTTACTATTTCTGTACGAGTGAAGTCATAGTCTGGTGCTACGAATCACAATTAGCATTTTTTAACACCTCTGAAAACATTGTGGCTTTAGTCACATTAAGTAAGGTGTGATCAGACACGCATTTAAAACAACTACACACACATGAATGACATAAAAATTATAGTTTATTATGAAATTATAAAACAATTACTGCCACATTTAAAAATCTACATTCTATTCACAATTTTTCTGGACATGTTTTTCATGCCATCCCTTTGGATCTGGTCTTGACTTTGAATGTTTGCAGCTAGAGAAACGGTGGTCCAATACCTGGATTGGATATATCTCTGATAAAGACTAAGTAGCTGGATCAGATATTGGTGGTTGTGTTATTATTTGCTAATAGATGATATAAAGTACATTCATATCTGTGTTAATTTTTTACCCTTTTTAACAAAAAAGGTAACAAATTTTATATCTTGTTAACAAATCATATATCTTGTTTATGCCAAGATATATGTTTCATTCATTCAACAGTTGAATTGCATTCAAATCGGATATCGGCCGATACCTTTGGCTCAGGTATCGGATTGGATTGGAAAAAAACTGGATCTCTGTTTGCAGCCTTGTTTAAGTTGCTGTCGTTTAAGGTGCCAACATTTCTCTCTAGCATTTTTGTTCTTTAGCAGCGTTTTCACTTTGCGTTTGTTGTTTGTGGGTTGTTGTTTTTTTTTACTGTATTGCTCCTACATACTGTTAAACTTCTGTCTTCACAATTTACAGCAATCGGTTTGTATCTCAGCTCTTTCCTTGAAAAGAGATTATTTCTCTTTTGTTACTCTGTGAAGGGCACATCTGAGAGCTTATTTACACATCCTCAGGTATCAGGAAGACCGTTAACAGGTTTTGGGTCTCAAGAAAAGGGTTTTTATTTCAAAAGGGGGAAAAAACAATCAATTATTGGGCCTTAGGAATAAAAATATCAGGTCTTAGGTCTCAGGGAAACAACAAAGCTCTTTTTTAATTTAAGTGGAATCTTAAACAACTGGACATATTTATGTGTAACAATTATATTCTGGTAGATAAAACTGCTAAATGCCTCACCCCAATAATAAACTCATAGAGAGTAGGTTTGCTGTGACCGTGGTCAGCCTGTAGTATGTAGATTCAGTGCAGTAACCAAATGGAACATTTAAGCATTTTAGGTGTATTTAGGCATTTGTTGCATGTTTGCAGCTGTGACCAATATATAAATCAAAGTAGGTGGTGCTCCTTAAGAAAAACATTAACACATGCTTAGTGCAGGCCCTTCAGGAATAGAATTCCCAACATATAGGATGCAAGTTATTAAAATATGGTGCATACTTACTTTTAATCAACAACTTATCTATTGTTTTTTGTTTGATAATCACAATGTCAAATCTGTTCTGGGAATTATGATCTAGAAGTTAGATTGGAATCATGAGAATCTGGTAGAGATTATGTATTAAACACATTTTTCGTTAACGATTATTAAGATATTTATTTTTTTTAGCAGTGCACTTCTGGCACTGTAGTAGCCAGAGTGACATTATTTTCTAACTTTGTGTTATTAGATGTACACTCATAACTGATTGACTAAGTTGTTGTGTAATAGCATAAGCTGCAATCATCATCTGTTATATTGTCTTTGTTTATAATGGTAAAACCTTCCAATTTGTTTTCCAAGTTTCTTTTACATCTTCAAATTTGTTGCAACTTTCAGAAGTTTGAAAGTAAAGCTAGTTTTTTACAGGTTACCATGTTTATGTAGCATGGTGGTGTGTAGGCAAGCCTCTTATACTATTTTAATGTGTTTTCAAGATGTTAATATCTATTGCATTTGTTTGGACAGGCATTTGGCAATGCAGAGACAGCAGAAAATAACAACTCCAGTCGCTTTGGGAAGTTCTTTCAGCTCATCTACCTGGAAAGTGGTGTCATCAGAGGGTAAGCAATCCTACGTTTTATAAAGCATTAGCTTTTACATTTTTTGGTGCATTGCTTTTATTTATTTGTTTGGTGCATCTGTTCATTTTTTTTGTTCAGGGCATTCGTTGAGAAGTTTCTGCTAGAAAATAGCCGCCTGGTGTCCAGAGGTCCAAATGAAAGGTAAAATATCCATCTTAGTTTATAATCCAAATCCCAACATAATGATAAATTCCCTGTAATAACAGGGCTTGTATCAAGCCTGCTATCTAAAAGAAGCCAGCTTAACCTTGTTTATAAGACATCAGAGGGGCCGACTATATCTGTAGATAACCTGGGCTAAATGGCCCTCTGTGATCCACAGGAACTACCACGTGTTCTACTGTCTGCTGATGGGTGCGTCCAAAGACGAGCAGAAAGAGTTTCGTCTGTTGAAGCTGGAGGACTATGTTTATCTCAACCAGGTACCTTTGACCCCTGCAGAAAGAGGAAGTGAAGAGCTAATTTGACAACTAGTGAAACGTGATTCAGTTATAGAGATGGGGAAAATACTTTGAAGCGAGCAAACTGCTTGCTCATGAAATTTTTCATCTATAGACTGATTTGTAGTCTTACCACATGCTTTAGATTAACGCTTCCATGCAAAGTATATGGCTGAATAATTATTAAACCCTGATTGCTTTGAATCTCTGATAGGTGAAGTATTTATTTGGAAACATTTCTTAAAGTTTAACATATTTGTTCCTGTTTAAATAAGTAAATTGCATAACGTATTTACACTTGATGAACTTAAATGTCAGAAGCATGAAAACACTAGATGTGTTAATGGTATTTTTAGTTGATAAATCAACAGTAAATGGTGAATAAGTAAAAACTGAAAGAACATAATACATGGTTTTTAAACATGTTAATGAATACATATCTAGAAAGCATTGTAATCAGACCTGCTCACTATACAAAATAAATTTGAATCAAATATAACCATTTGACCTCTGAGATTGCCTATTTGTTTAAAAGCATTGATAGGCTGTAAAACAACATCCCTGACTTTAAACGCCTAGAAGAGCAGTGATAAATCCATAATTTAAAAGTGTCAGGTTAGGTGAAGAGACCGTTATTTAGTATCTAAGGGGCTACATGTGGCCTTTCGATTATTTAAGGAACAGTCTGTTCAGAGCTTCATGCAATAATTTCCAATAGTTGAGCAGCTGCTTCAAAAATGTTATCACCAAATGAAATGCAAATAATTGAGAAATTTGTTTCCAAAACATGCTACTGCTGGACTTCAGTCATAAAGGCATGTTCAATTGAAAGAGTCATGCCCCTCTGTGTTCCAATTTTATAGATAAGTCTAGGTTTCACCATCATTGAGTGTATTATTTGGCAGAGACTTATGGTGGTTTGAGGCTGTTTTTTAGGAGGTTAGGTTAGGGTTGAAATCTGAACACTTCAGCGTACAAAAACATTTTAAACAATTTTATGCTCCTAGTTTCATGACAGCAGTTTAGAGATGGCCAAC